AGATTTCCCTACAAGGATCTTTTTGTCTCCAAATCTACCTCATCTGCCCCTGGCACTTCTGTCTCTACCATTCCATCCCTTATCAATCCTCCCAATTTTTCCTCCCTTAACCCGCCTCAACCTGCTCTACATGAGAGCCCTGCTTCTTCAGATGATGGTCTCTCATACTCTCAATCTGCATCTACTGATTCTCAACTCCCTTCACCTATCACATCACACAATTCCTCCTCTATCTCTGCTGCCTCGGCTGAAGCTTCAGAACCAGCCAGACCTCTCAATGTTCACCCAATGCTTACACGCTCAAAAAATGGTATTGTTCAACCCAGACAAAACCCCACACTTCTTCTTTCGCATGTTGTGCCTAAGACAGTCAAAACTGCTTTAGCTGATCCTAATTGGCTTGCTGCCATGCAAGCTAAAATCACAGCCTTACATACCAACAACACCTGGAGCTTAACTACCCTACCTCCTGGCAGAAAACCGATTGGCTGCAAATGGGTTTTTCGTGTCAAGGAGAATCCTGATGGTTCCATCAATAAATATAAGGCTCGGCTAGTTGCCAAAGGCTTTCATCAACTACCTGGTTTGGATTTTTCTGAAACCTTTTCTCCTGTTGTAAATCCTATCACCATTCGTATTGTTCTTTCTCTTACTGTATCCTTTCGGTGGTCTCTTCGACAGCTTGACATTAACAATGCCTTCCTCAATGGCATGCTTGAAGAGGACATTTACATGTCTCAGCCTCCTGGCTTTGTAGATTCTGCCAATAAACATCTTGTCTGTAAGTTGCATAAATCTCTTTATGGCCTAAAACAGGCTCCTCGAGCCTGGTTTGACAAACTTACGTCTGTTTACTCAAGCTTGGTTTCAGCAAAAGCAAGTGTGATCCCAGCTTGTTTATCTTCTCCACCTCAGCTGCCACTGTTTTCATGCTTGTCTATGTAGACGACATCATTCTCACTGGAAATTCTCCATCCTTGCTGCAAAAATTTGTTACCCAACTGAATGCTATTTTTTCTCTTAAAGATCTTGGTACTTTGGACTACTTCTTAGGTATTGAAGTCAAGTCTCTTTCTCAAGGAAAGTTGCTCCTTTCCCAAGACAAGTATATTACTGACCTTCTTACTAAGGTCAAAATGGAAGACTCCAAAAGCATCTCCACTCCTATGATTGGCGGTCAGCAGCTTGCTAAAGAAGGTACTCTATTTGATGATCCTACGTTGTATAGGTCCGTAGTTGGTGCATTGCCGTAAGCTACAATTACGCGACCTGAAATTGCCTTCAGCGTTAACAAGGTAAGCCAGTTTATGTGCTCTCCCATGGAAGAGCATTGGAAAGTTGTCAAACGAATTCTTAGATACCTAAAAGGAACTGTTGGTCATGGCCTTGTGTTCTCGCCTGCAAAGCACACTGCTCCCTTCAATCTCACTGCATTTACTGATGCTGACTGGGCATCTGATCCGAATGATAGAAGATTAATACCCCACAATGGTCGTTTAGCCCCATCATTTCGTTAAAACTCTATTTTTTATCAATAAAATTCTATATATATAATTGATAATTTGGATTGGATTAAATTTTCAACATCAAAATACATAATCCGAATTTTTCAATTTGGATTCATCAGTTATTCGGTTTGCTACAGGTCCATGACCACCAGTTGTATGAACATTAAGTTGAGCTGAGACACCAGATGCAGCTTCTGATAGATTCCTCCTCATCCCTGAAATTTTGGACCCCACAAGTTCTTTGTATTTCGAGACTGAATCAACCAACTGAAAGAGTTCGCTAACACGCATTTGAATTTCTTCTTCACTTTGTTTAATCGCTTCCTGCAACTTCAATTCAGATATCTTGACAAAAGACGAAGAAGTTCATTAGATACAATATTATCACATAAACCAGTTTAATTTTAACCAAGAGGTTTGACTATCATCCACACACGCCACTAAAGAAAGGGAAAACACATTTATGTCTTAATTCAAAACGTGCTTACTTTAAAATTATGCGGTTAAGCAAAGAAAGAAACATATTTTACTGCGGATTATTTCCTATTACTAAGCTTTGGCGGTAGTTAGTTTGGCTAGATAGCCCAAGAATCAGCTCAAACAACATATACTCACCTCAATTACAATTACTTGATAATTCCTACACTTCTACATGTATTTAGCCGTAGCATGTTTACATAATTGAAATGAAATTTATGCATGTAATTCAGTAATTAGCTTTGTTTGTTTTTTCTCTTCCCAGTTTACCTATTCGAATACCGAATATGCCAAGGGTTAATCTCAAAAGGAATGGATTCAATAGTGTGCAAGCTAAGAACATACTGTCTCTCTTAATCATAATCACTTACACGAAGACCATGAACATGAACTAAGCAAAACATAAGTACATAACACAAAAGTAGCTAGAAAAGGAATATAGCAACTATTATGCAGTCAAAATACTCGCAATCGCAAACAAACACTCATTTGTGCACTGTATGGTTAGGAACCCAAAGGAAAAAAAAATACAACATGTGAAACGGTTGACATATTAGATAGGAATTAATTCAAAAACTTAACCCGTAGTTAATAGGCCTATCAACGTAGATAGTAAAAAAATTGTTTGCCTCTCCAAATTGAATGAGACAACAAAGATATCAGACACATTCTCCATATCTTGAAGAATTCTTAGCACTTCAAATTCAATAGACTATTAAAGAAATAAATAACAACCAAAGAATTACCTTGAGAACCTCGGCTGCCTCTCTTTCCATAATGTCCAGGTCATGATCTGCAAGCTGGACCTCCTCCAGCATTCTCTTAGCTTCAGCATAAGATCTACTAGTGTATTCCTGTGTTCCCTTCTTTATCATGTTCAGTTGAGCTTCCATCTGGTAGATAAATCAACAAGAAGCAGAAAGGAAAGTCAAACAGAAGTTCTCATAAGGCAATATTATTCCTGCTTAAAATCCCCATCTAATTCCACAAAATAGTAACAAAAATTTGTGCCAGGACAAATGTAGAAGTGTGTATTAATTTGATTTTTCATCAATACAATTCAGTATTTTTAATTTGTCCCATACTATAATTTTCTCCACAAGTTTAAGAATGTCAATCGAAGGACCTGTGTCATTCCAACCAAAATTTATGGACGGGACCTTAGTATTTCTGTTAAATAGCAGCATGGAGTCATACTTAAGTCATAGTACAATGCAAGTATGGCAAGTGATTTCAATTAACAAAAAAAGAAGAAAAAACATGGTAAATGATTATTTTCTAAAAAAGGGTAAAATGTATTGGCCTGTACAAGTTACAACTTAGAAAACGCAGGCATCAACACTGCTCCAGCTCCCACTCACCATAGTCATAGTGATAGCTAATATTATAACTTTCTAGAAAAAAGTTCTCCGCTATCGGCATTGCTACAGACCGCTACAGACCAAGCAACAGTATCATCATCTGTATATAAAAAGCCAAACACGTAAATGCACTTACTTCATCAATCCACGACTCCACTTCCCCAAGCTGATTTCTTTCCCCCTCAAGCCTCGCAGCATTTTCACCGGACTTCTGCTGGTAAGAAATCAAATCCTCCAATTTTTCCATAGAACTTTTCTTGATTTCATTAGCAAATGATCTAAGCGCAGGCTTCAGCTTGAGTTTGTGATCGACTCCCATTATCTCAGCAGGAGTAGACCCCTTAGCATTCAACTGATACTGAATCTCGTTCCCAATCTTTAACCTAAAATCAAGAACAGTGTCTCCATACCATTAGAGAAACAAAAACTGACATCAAAATGAATTCAAGATACACCACGATATCTTATGGCATCAGAATTTACTGCTACTCTTGTTCTTGTTCTAGAATGATTTCAGCTTTAGCATTCGAAAAATTATAATAATAAATAATCGTCACACTTTTCAATGTATTAATTAATTAACTCGAATGATCAAACTATTTTAATAAAATTATATAAAATATATATATTTATTGTTGTCATTATTTTATAGGTAAAAAACCTTAAGTTAAAGTGAAGGAAGGAGTAGTTGATTATTATAAAATGATAGTAAAAAACCAATTGGTTAGAAAAATGTGACCTCTTAAGGGCTTGGTTGCAGTCCATAGCGAGAGCCTCGATGTCATTGATTTTGTGCGAGAAAGCGGAGTCGAGAGCCCACACCTTCTCCTCCCACGCACTTCTCGCAATATCAGCCTCCGCAGTGTCGCTCTCCACCGCATGCAACTCCCTCCTCATCCTCTCCACGTCGCGTGCATTGAACGGCTGAGCCTCCACGCGCCGCCTCAGCTCCACAATTTCCTCGCAGGCCCGCTCCGTCTCCGCGGCCTTCGCCTCCACCAGCCGCTCCTTCTCCGCCAGAGCCCTCTCCGCCTGCTCGATCCCCGCCGCCAACACCTCAATCGTCTCGAGGCACTTCTTCACCTCGTCCTCCAGCACCGCCTTGTCTCTCTCCAGCGCCTCCTTCGGCGAGGGCGCGAACCGGAGGCGGCCGAGCTCGGCCTGGAGGTCTGCTTCGGTGCGGCGCGCGGCGAGGAGGCGCTCCTCGGCGGCGGCCTTCTCCTGGCGGAGCTTCTCGCGAATGCTGCGGTCGAGGTCCTCGACGGCGTGGTCGTCGCCGCGGATGTAGTGCATGTAGGTGTTGACAGTGTAGTGGTGGAGTGCGGTGTGGTGTTTGGGGGAGGAAGCGAGGTGGATGTGGAACTTGGCGATCTGGACGAGCCAGTGGATGAGGGCGAGGAATGAAGGCCATTGGTGAGGTGCGGCGGGGGAACGGAGAATGGAGTTGTTGAGATTGATAGGAAAGGATAAGCGCTTCAAGAGGAGTGGGAGAAGATCGAAAGGGAAGTCGAGGAGGGAGAGGAGAAATTTGAGGGTTTCGTGGATGTGTTTGGCGGAGGGGAAGGTGGATTTGAAGGTGATTGGGAAGTTGTGAGAGGCGAGGAAGGCGTTGATTGTGGAAACCGCCGATTGCTGGAACGACCGCTCTTTGTAGAGCTCTAGGAGTGGGCGGCCGCCGGCGCCCACCGAGGACGGGCGGCTGCTGGCGCCGGAGTCGCGGCGGCGGTGGAAGTCCACCGGTGGCGGTGGGATGACGGACTCCTTCGGCTGCTTGCGCGCGGCGGCTCTCATCTCCCCGCAATCGGTTTGAATTTGAATTTCTGTTGGGAGCGCGTTTGTGGGTGACTGTTGAGTGTATTATTATTATTATTATTCTTATGCTTAAATATGTTTTTTAGTACTTTAAATTTAGGGTAAATTTATTTTTGATCTCTCAAATTTAAAATTGTTATTTTTAGTCCTTGTAATTTTAAAAAATCTTATTTTAGTCCGATATTCAAATTTTGTTAAGAAATTTATCAAATATTATTGCATAAAATCTACCTATTCGTGTTCTTATTAATGAAAATATCACATTAAATTCAGTTGATATTACATAACTGTCTTAATTAGTCACTTTCAGATATGTTATTGGTGACCTAAAGGACTAAAACAAGATTTTTGAAAATTACAGGGACTCTAATAACAGTTTTAAATTTGAGGGACCAAAAATAAATTTGTCTTAAATTTGAGGGACTAAAAACATATTTAAGTCTTATTCTTATTATACATGTACTATGCGTTACACAGAACAAAATATTTTTAAATATGTATTACTATTTTTTCCCTTTTTTTAGTTGATTTTTGATATCATTTACAAGTACTTCAAAAATACATTTATAAGTGATCAAATAAATTTTAATTATTATCATGATTTTTAAGAGATAAAGTATAATAATAAATATCGATTAAAAAATTAATGATAATATTATTATTAATTTTAAATTTTATTATATATATATATATATATTTGATTTTATCATAATATTCTATTTTTAATTTTTTAATCAACAATTATTATTCTATTCTTTAAAGTGCATCATTCACTTTAGTGGAGATAAATTAAAAAAAATGTATACAAAAGACCACTTTTTATACAAAACAAAAAACTTATAAATTTTTGCTATTTTTTATAAAATGATTTTTTTTAATCTATACACATAGTCTAAACACTATCTCAACAATAATTGAATCTAAGAGCATTAGATCTACCCTTATGTTCCATGACAGGATTTACAAGTTATAACTACCTAGCAAAGAGACTTGATTAAATGATTTTAAAGTTTCTTATTATATTCTCATCTATTTTAAATTGTCAATATGTAAATTAATTAAAATTATGTGAGATATAAGAGTATAATTGAAAAAAATTGTAATTAATATTATTTTGAACTTTAAAAATGACAACTAAAGAGAATTTTTTCCTTAAAACAAAAAATTAAAAATTAATATAAGGAAGTATTAATGCTTAATATTATTATGAACCACGACGACAATTTTCATGTAACAAATTAACAAAAATTTTGTGTGAATAATCGTGAAAACATCAACAGAATATAGTGAGGGAGAAAATATAAAATTTCATTAGTGTATTATTCCACATCTTGCATGGGTATTAAGTTTAAGATTTTTAAATTTTATTGTATTTTTTATTTTATATAGTATTTCAGTATATATTTATATATATATATTTAAAAGTAATATGTTTTATGTTATATATAATTTTATATTTACCTATATATTTTTATCATTTTAATTCATATACTTTTTTAATTGTAGTTTGATTATTCAAATTGTAAAAATCATATCATTCATAATTTTAATTATACAACTTTTTATTTATATATTTAAGTTACACATACTATATATCATTTAAACAAGTAAGATAAATTTTTTCAAGACATATAATAACATTGATTTAAAGACTTATCCGCGACCTACACATAAATTATAATATTATCAAAACTTGATTTAGCTTTATAATTTTACTTTATTAGTGTATTATTTCATTTTCTACATAAGTATTATGCTTACAATTTTTAATATTTAATATATATTTTTATTTTATATAATACTTTTTATGCTTTTATATATATATATATATGTGTGTGTGTGTTTATGCTTATTTATTTTAATTTGATTGTTCAAATTGTAAAAATCACATCATTCATAATTTTAATTATACAATAACTAATCAAGAATAAAATATTTGATCCGAATACGATTAAATAAAATTTTGAAGATTAGATAATGAAACAATAAAATGTCATATTTCGGATAAGATTTGTCTCAATCAATTAAAATAATAAGATTTACCTCAATTAATTAAAATAATTTAATATGATAAAATATAAAGATGCTTTCAAATCCTATTTTTCGCACGCACAAGAGCTCACAAGACCTATTATCATATATACAAGTCCAACATTCATTGTTTGCCTATTTGAAAGTGAAAAAAGTACCTTGCATATTTGAATACTAAAATCATTTGGCTACAGTACTTGAGCAATTAAAATTGATTAATTCAAATTTAAGAAAACAAAATCACACAATTGAAATAATTGAAAAATTAAAATTGCTTAATTATAAATTTGAGAAATTAAAATCTCATAACTACAATAATTATAAGACCAAAATTACACAACTACGATACTTTAAATAAACAACTTATTTAAAATTTTATTTAATAAAATTCTTATATAATAAGAACTTTTGTTATAAGTACTTAAAATTTAATAAATTATTACATTTGGATATACATGTTAACAAATTCAAATACCTATGAATGAACATCGAAATAAATGTGTACCGGTGGATACCCCTTCGGTCACGCAATAGGCCGAGAGGGGTACCCGAACCGGAGGGCCACACCATATAGCACCCCCTCGGTCAGACAATAGGCCGAGAGGGGGGCCCGAACCGAAGAGTCATACCGTGTAGCACCCCCTCGGTCAGACAATAGGCCGAGAGGGGGGCCCGAACCGAAGAGTCATACCGTGTGGCACCCCCTCGGTCAGACAATAGGCCGAGAGGGGGGCCCGAACCGAAGAGTCATACCGTGTAGCACCCCCTCGGTCAGACAATAGGCCGAGAGGGGGGCCCGAACCGAAGAGTCATACCGTGTGGCACCCCCTCGGTCAGACAATAGGCCGAGAGGGGGGCCCGAACCGAAGAGTCATACCACGTGGCACCCCCTCGGTCAGACGATAGGCCGAGGAGGGGGGGGCCCAAACCGATGAACCACAGCCCCCCCCCTCGGCACCATACCTAGCCGAACACCCCCTCGGCCTCAGGCTAGGCCGAACACTCTTCTGGTCCCTTGGGAAAGACCCAAAGAGTAGTAGTTACTCAACAACGTCCTTTCGGCCCCAAGCTTGGCCGAACACCCCTTCGGCCCCAAGCTTGACCGAACACTCCTTCGGTCCCAAGCTTGGCCGAACACCCCTTCGGCCTTATGCCTAGCCGAAAACATAGTGAAAAACCCATGGTGAACACGTGGCAAATCAAACACTGGTGAACACGTGGCAAACCAGATACCTACTAAGATACTAATCACCAGGCCAGATTAAGACAGGGTTAAGGTTAATTCACGTATTACCCGCATCCCAAGAATGAAGGCCCACCAGGCCCAAACATGTCACTATAAATATACAGGTGATATGACATAAATGAGGTACGTTACTACTCCCACTAGCACATTTATTGCTCTAAACCGAACACTGACTTGATCGTCGGAGTATCTTTGCAGGTACCCTCCCACCCTTTGGAGTTAGTAATTCGGTCGGCACGGAAGACTCGGAAAGACTCGAAGGCAGCTAAGAAAGGAGTAAGGAGACAAGTGTTCTTCACCCGGAACAAAATGCAAATACTTATAAGGTGTATCTTTTATTTAGTTAATTTCCAGAACTAAAATGACAACGACCCTTCTGTAAGAAAGGAAGGGAAAAGAAAGCCCGGGGGAGGAGGCTTGTGGTGAGGGGATTGAATGCAGACTTAAAATACAAATTTCCCTAGTTAACTAGCACATAAACATGTTGCTAGTAGTGAGGAGCAAGGTTGTCAATCTCGAGAGTTTACGTAATCTCGTGGAGGCTCCGTAAACTCGTATCGTAAACTCGTAAGAAATTACTTAATAATAAATAAATAATTAATTAATTAAAAATAACATAATAATTGAATATTTTAACTCTATATTAAATAGTAAAATAGAAAATTACATTAATAATAAATGTTCTTAACACAAATTCTTAACAAAAGTTCCCACAAATGAAAAAACAAAAGTTCTTAAAAATAGAAAAATAAAAAATATTAAAATTTAAAAACCCTAACCAGGTTCGCACAAAAGTGAGTCGCGCACGAAGAAGAAGAATAGCGGAGGTGGCGACGCGGAGGAGAAAGAGACGCGCGGAGGAGAGGCGTGCAGAGGAAGCAAGGCGCACAGAGGAGACGAGGCACGCACGGAGGAGACGAGGAAACGCGGAGGAGGAGCCGCGGAGGAGAGGAGGCGCACGGAGGAAGAGACGCGGAGGAAGAGACGACTAGGAGAGGAAACGAAGAGGAGAGGAGACGAGGCTAAATAAGTGCCCTAACACACAAAACACAAAACAGGCGTTTTGTGTAAGTGAAAAAAAAAACAAAAAGGTGATCTCTTAATATCGGAAGTGATCTCGCGAGATTACCGAGATTACTCTGAGATTACTCAAAAACGAGTTTACCTCCGAGTTGTACAGGTAAGTTGTCCTAAACTCGTAAACTCTTACGAGTTATCACTAGAAATTGACAACATGGTGAGGAGGGTGTGTGGTTCGTCTTGGATGAGCTAAGATCTTCCAAATAACATCTATCTGTTCACTAGTTATTATAATGTGAAAGCATAAAATATTCAACTTGCATAAACCAGCGATAACAAGAAAATGACACATTACCATTCTATTTACAGATGCTGTACAATTATTTCAGTCAATCCTTATTAGGTTGTTAAGCAAAGGGGGAAAAATGCATTAGATCTCAAACTATAAAGGAACTTGGAGGGGAAGCGGCACCCAGGCCAACTTAACATTGGTCAGCATGTAAAATTCACCTTTGTCCACTGTGATGTGCTGAGGGAAAGTAAATTCTACAATCCCAGCAAGAACAGTCAAGTCAAGATAGTGCTGTCAGCCTGTCAGTAGGTCAAAATGCTTTACAGAGGTTGTTAGCCTTCATGTTAGATGAACCTTGCTGAACTATAGGACCCGTTGGACCACACAACCTGCTCCTCTTTGGTTCAGATATCCTCACATGTGAAATTGCAGAGGCAAGCACATCAATTAACACGCATTCATCCTCATCATCTGAGTTGCAACTTTCAGAGGATGAACCCTCGTTAAGTGAGTAATTGTCTATCCTATTTGCTCCAAATCTTGGTTCAGGCACAGCAAGCTGTTGGCATGTGGCACCCATTTGGTTCTTCAATTTTGTTTTGACGGGGAGCATCTTCAATGAATGTGCCGTGTAGAACAATATCCATGGATGCCCTGGAATTGAACCATAAGGTTAATATAACATGTAAAGCGAACAACTAAAAACTATCTCAAACATCAAACGCAATGTCAATTTTTTGTCTAGAAAATATCAGGCGCACTTAAAAGAGCATCATTAGCATATAAGGGAAACATGTGATGAAACAAAGTGAAAATTCTCTGTTATACCAAAAATAAAAGACATACACAAGAAGTACAAAAGGGTATAACCATTTAACAGCCAAAGACTTATAAGCAAATCTCGTTGAAATCTAGTATCTACCACATATATTTACTTAAGTCATTGTGGTAGCAAAGATAAATTTCAAGAAAACTTGGATGCGTTCTAAGTCTAAGTTTTGATCATCTCAATGAAATAACCTGTGTGGGGGAGAGAGACAGTGTGCGAGTTATACAACAATTCTCTGTGCATTCATCATTAAGAGAGGAAGAAAGATAAAACAGACAACATACAATACATTCATGATATATCATAAAACTTACTAAGTACTTCGTCAGCTGATATCCTTGCTGAAATATCCCTTGTCAGCATTCTCCCAATAAGGTCTCGTGCAGGTTTAGATATTGATTCCCACATCCCGTTTTGAAAATCTAATTTGACGGTTTTAATAGCCTCAAAAACTGCTTCCAATGAATCTCCTTGAAATGGAAGACTGCCTACCAACAGAGCATGCAGGAGCACTCCAGCACTCCATATATCCACCTTCTCAGAGTAACTTCCTAACAATACTTCTGGGGCAACATAGGCAGGGCTTCCAGCCAAACCAGTCAAGTTCAGACCTGAGATACAATTTTTTAGTTAATAAGACAATGCTTTGATGAATAATTGTCTGATGTATAGAGCCTGACTGAAAAACAATTGTCAGATGCAAATTGATATTTGCAATTGCTTAAAACAGAATGCAAACAATGTGGCCCTAACATAAATGCAATAACTTTCACAATTCGTGACTGCTTTAAGTTGAAAGTTCATTATGATAAATTCCCATAACTTTGTTTTGAATATGCCAGCGGAAATCACAAAAACTAAATACACGGAAACTGAAATAAAATAACATAGAAATACTAGCTATGAAGCATGGAATCAGACTCAGACACCAGATACAACATAGATACCAAGGCACGACTACTGTACAAAACATAGGACACCAAGATATTGCATGTGATAAAGTTGTTAAGCTTGTAGAAACAAGATTGAGAATCAATATTTGTAGATATTGTAGAAACAAAGTTGTTAAGCTTTACAATTTTCACATGATAATGACCTTTGTAGATAGAATACTGAGACAGAATATTTCACAATGCAAATCTTTATAAAAAAACTAAAATAAAGATAAGAAAATAAATTATACCTCCTAAAAGTTAAAACAACTAGTAATTCACTAATTCCTATGAAAATGAGCCTCACAAAAAGGATGCCATGAGCCTTGCAATGTTTATAAAATAAGTTGACTTTCAATTTTTTCATAATGGGAGTGTTGGATAAGCTTTTAACTAAGAGTAGTATCGGCTCATTCTCTTGGCTCAGGTCCAAATCACGTTGGAGACATTTCTGAGCCCAATTTTTTTTTTTTTTTTTTTAATTGTGATATGGTGGAGGGGTGTGGGACGCCAGTGTATGACAAGTGCCTTGTCTGAAAGGTGTCCATGCTTCATAGAATACTAGTACATCTGCCCAAGCCACACACATTTTTTCATTGGTAGCTACTGAAATGGATAAATTTTTACAAAAGGCATGTAGGGCAAGGATTCTATCAAAGTTAAAATACTTATAAACAATGGAAAAAAAAAATCATCTAGACAAGTTTCACATGTTACCTTCTGAAATTCTCATGGCCAGGCCAAAATCTGCAAGCTTTATTTTTCCAGATGCTGTGAGCAGAATATTCTCAGGTTTGATATCTCTGTGCACAACTCCCATGTCATGGCAATACTTGATGACCAACATCACTTCCTTGAGCACATTAGCAGCCCGCTGTTCTGAACATGGACCTTCTTTAACCATTTGATCGATGAGCCGTCCCCCAGAGCACAATTCCATGACAAGATGAAAGCACTCTGCTTCTTCATAAACAGCTTGCAGTGTCACAACCCCAGAATGTCCAGACAAGTGTTGCATTATCTCAACCTCTCGATGAACCGTCTCCTCCCCCTTCCTCAGGGTCTTACACGCATACTCTGCCCCGCTAACCCTGGACCGACACAGCCAAACAGACCCAAACTTGCCTTGCCCAATGGTCTCACCAGACACATAATCATCCTCAATCTTCTTCTTCCTACCCATTTGGGTAGCAACATCAATGCAACCTATCTTCCTCTTGAGCCCTCTCCCCGGGGTGATCAAAGACGACGTCCCACACAGCGGTGCAGTAGCAATGCCAGCAAGCCTCCTTTTAAAGGAAGCAGCTGGCTCTGTGTCAGCATCCTCCTTACACCTCTTCTTCAACCTAAAACAATCTTCTAGCGAGTAATGGGACTTCAAATTTGACGAAGCAGAGCCATGATTATTAGGAGCCAAAACAACCGGCAGATCACCAGTCGCATCAGTCTCGCTTCCTTTCCTTTTCTTCCTCATAGCATCGGTTAACAAACTATCACCACTCTCAAGATCACAATCCCATCAAACAATCTAACCCTAATTCGCAGCAAAAACACACTTCCGGTTGGCTTCTGCAATCAATAAAAATAAGATCAATCATCGAAAACCCGTAATGTATTATAATTCAGAATCACATCCAATTTCGAAAAAACAGCGCCATTATTATAGGGGGCGCAAATAGAGAAGGGGAGAAAGGAGTATCCTCGTTCCCCCGCCACCAGAATCAGGAAGAGAGGAACCAGAAACTTTTTGGCTCCGTGTGAGAATTAACATTTCCTCAATGATCAAGCGTGGTTTACTAATTATAAACAACAATAATTAGACATGAAAAGATTAGCGCGAAAATAACGAACCTTTTAGGTTTGGAGTGAAGGAGCCTCTCTGGAATGGTGGAGATGATAGAAAGAATGGGAAAGGGGAAGGAAGAGAGTGGGAAGAGTGGCGGAGAAGATTGGTCCAGAAACCCTAAAAATCTTGGATCCAAGATTTGGGGGAAATCCGTGAAATAAGAGTTATCTTGTTGTTCATGTTTGGTGAAAAGGGGAAGACTTGTACTGTGTGTTATTTTCTTTTAATTTCGTGTTGTGGACGTGGAGAGGGGTTATGCGGTGGGCGGGTCCATGGTAAGGTGATGGGACTGCTTCCGCCGTAGATTTCATTGGTATTTTGGTTGGCTCACGTGGCATGCGGCTGTTTTTGTTTGGTCCCAGATTTACAAACCGACAAAGCATTGAACACGTGACTCAACAGCTGACAGGCACGGGGATTCATGTGCGTAGACAATGGGTCACTCACCTCACCCATTTTGCGCTCTTCTCTTCAGCATTCCATTTTTTTATATTCTCTGCATTTTTTTTCATAATTATTTTGTCAAATTTTGATTTTTTTTCTAAAATTAATAATTTATTAATTTTTTTTATTTATATTTTTACTCTTGATAACTAATACATAGAATAATATATTTATTCATTTTTTAATATACTTATATTTTCTTCAACTACCTAAAAAATATAACAAAAAAATATGTAATAAATATTTTAAAAAATTAAAATATCAATTATTATCTTAACTTTAAAGATAATGAAAAAAAAAAACCGGGAGGAGTACTGCTTTTCTTCTCTTTTTCTGTGACTCAATTTTGCACTCTCGTCTACTAAATGGAAATAATTTTATATAGATTTGGCACTTGATTTATTATTTTAAGAGACACTAATTCTTTCTTCTATAATTAATTCTTATTAATATATTTGATGACCTTGTATTATAATATTTTAGTATTACATGATGCCCTTTACGAATAATAAAATATCATTATATCATAATTAATTTAATGGGTCAATTCATTAAAATTATACTTATCATGGGTAATATGTCTAAAACTTTAATTTTTTTTTTTCTTATTTATATGTATTTCATATAATCTTATTTTTTTTATAAGTAAAATTAAATTAAATAAGAGGAATACAAAGAGTATTCTAACTTATATACACAACATAACTAAAATCAATTTGCAATCATCATACAATAAAAAATCTTACACCAATAAAATAAAAAAATAACGATTAATAGTTAGTTATCATTATATCTTAAAATTATTTGTCTCAATAATTTCATTTCACTTCTTATTTTTTTAAATAAAATTTTGTCATGTTTATTAAAATAAACATAAAAAATTAAAAGAAATTCTAAATCTTTCACCCAATGACTACTTGTTTATATGTTACCTTCCGTTCTAAAAAATTACCATACAAAAGAGTGAAATTAACCTCTATTATATCAAGAGATGTGCATTCTCATCGGAACTTTAGTCTCTTCTTCATTGTCGCTTTCTTTGAGAAAATTAAAAATGTTATTGTGTACACTCATTAGAAAAGTAAATCCTCATAAATGTCATAGATAGAGAGAATCTTTGTTGTCCATGTCATGTCTTCCACTTCATTGCTAGAATGTTAATTAAGGCAAAGCCATGGGGTTAATAATAATATAATCCAGGTTTATAGTATTTAGAATGAAATAAGCTTGTTGATGTTGTGAAATGCAAAAATTACAACCACATTGTTCCAAACTTGTTTGTTTGTGAATGACATCATCTTCAAATGCGAATCAATAAAATTGACATGATTGAAATTTTTTTTCTTCTTATCGATCTTCCATAATACATCTTTTGTCTAAAAATCTCAATATTTTCTTTAACACTATTTCGCAAAGTCATGGTCAAACACATAAAATCATTTTTTAAAATCAAATATTTTTAAAAGTCAATTAAAATACATCAAGATAAATATTGTCTTGTTTATAATCTCTGTAGAACCCAATTCATCCATAAAATTATTTTTTAAAATCAAATGTTTTTAAAAATATTTTCCTGTATCTCTTTTTTTTTTCCCTTTTCTTTCCCCGTCTTTTCTTTATCCCTCTATTTCGCTCCGTTTTTATCCCCCTCTCTCATTTCTTTTAATTGATTGAGATGATTATTTTAATTAATAAGTAATTTTCACAATAGGATAAATTGTCCCATGTATTCCATTTAATTGCATTAACTTCATGCAATCATTTACTTCATGTTGAAAAAATTGGAATCGTAATAATGCCTTGTATTGTTACGTTGTGCCACCTAGTTTATATTACACGAGACAATTAAAATATTATTTGGTGCATCCACTAAAAGAGAAAAAAATGCTGGGATACATAAATTTAAAATTACATAAGTCAATTATTGGTATTTAGTAAGTGCATTCAGCAGAAGACAAAAATCTTTGAGCAACATAAATTGAAGGAATGTTTTAAGAACTCCTATCATAATTGAACAGCTGCTTAGAAGATTAGAAAAGAGAAAAAATAGTAAATGACTATCCCTAACAAACGTAAACAAGTGATGTGAAAAAAAACGTAAATAAGTGAATTTGGATATTCGAATTGGACAACTTAATCTGTTTTCCATCAATATCTAAACTTAATTTGATCTTCTTTTTTTTATTTATAGATAATTATATTATTAGTATCAAATATTTTACCTGTTTCCTCAATAGCTAATTTCTATTAGATAATCCGATCACTTTTAATAAAATTTTATCTCTCAACCATGTTTCTTTTATAAGCTTAAGCTAAGATCTTGCTTAATATCGAGTCTAATATTACTGTTCTTAAAATACGATCTTCTATTGGATTATTGAAAGAAAAAATTCAAAACAATTTTTTAAAATTTTATTATAATATTGGAGAGAGAGAGAGAGGAGAGAGGGGTGAGAGAAAAAAAAGAGAGAAAGTATTGAAAATTAAATATGAACAAATTTATATTGGATTGACTTTGATCCATTGTGTTAATCAGATGATCCATCGAATTTGAAAATAATAGTGGACGAATTATTATTCATCCATTTAATTATGATTCATTCAATTTAATTTGGTGAAGGGTATTTTTGTTAAAAAGAAGAACTTCAAATGGAAAGAGCAAAAAGGATATAGGATTTCCAATTCCATCATTGAGAGCCTAAATGATTGGTCCCCTAGTCATTGTTCTCTTCAAAATATCTACTTTCGTATACGATTTGTTGATTTAATTTGATATTGACTATTTCAGACTTGTTGCGACCACCTTTTTCTCAAGTCTCCAGAAGATCCTTCAACGTGTACAAGTGTATGCCCCATCTAATTGATTTGTTAATAATAAATAACTGAATTACCAATAAGACACTGGATATTTTGTTTTACACAAAGGTCACAGTAATGCCGACCCTAATGGATTATAAAGACGAGAATGAGAGAGCTTCAAGTATTTGTTTTTTTTTTTTTTAATTCGCAATTTAAAAAGGAAAAAAAAATGGCAGGAGAATCAGTGACGTTAATAGGGTTCTGGGGTAGTCCATTTGTCCTCAGGGTCAAATGGGCTCTTGAACTAAAAGGGATTCAGTACCAATATGTGGAAGAAGATCTCAGCAACAAGAGTGCCATGCTCCTGCAATATAACCCTGTTTACAAGAAGGTGCCGGTTCTTGTGCATGAAGGTAAGCCCCTGGCGGAATCACTAGTGATTCTTGAATATATTGATGAGACCTGGAAGCAAAATCCCCTTCTTCCACAAGATCCCTATGAAAAGGCCAAGGCACGATTCTGGTCAGGATTCGTTGATGAAAAGGTAATAATAAATTAGAACAAGCAAACAATTTAGTTCTTGAAATTGTACTTCACTCTCGTATTAATCTTTGGAAAAAAAAATCAAACAAGTCGAACTATTTAAAGATTTCATTTAAATTCCTAAAATTAATTACTTTTTTTTTTATTTTGTCCCCAAACATATTATTATTTAAGTCCTTGAATAGATTTAACCACTTTAATCTTTAATACATATTAATATTATCATTTTAATCATTTTATTTTTTTTGAGTTTTGACCTAACGTGATTACATAAACTTATTTTTCAATTTTATAATTTAAGGGGCTAATGTGACAGCTTATTCCAAATTCAAAGGATAAAATGAGTGTTTGCTCTCTAAAAATGTTTTAAGAACTTATTTAAAAATTTATAGTTTCAAGAATTAATATGATAAGATACTAAAATTGATCATTTACTTGTATTAGAACACATGTTATCGTGTTCTTTTTGTCCCCTTGGTAACACACTCGACCTTTCTTATTCTCCGTGTTATGGCCACCTTTTCCAAAGGTGGGGAGGAACAACAGAAAGCAGCACAAGAAGCTCGGGAGAATCTAAAGACCCTTGAAGGTGGGATTGAGGGAAAGCGCTACTTTGGAGGTGAAAAAATAGGCTTCGCTGATATTGCTATTGGCTGGCTTGGATACTGGGTACAAATAGTGGAGGAAATTGTGGGCATAAACCTGATTGATAAAGAGTTGATGGCTAAGCTTGATGCTTGGTTCAATGATTTTCTTGAGCATCCTGTCATCAGAGAAAGCATGCCACCACGTGATAAACTGCTTAACCACAACACGGCCTTCCACAAGGTCTTGACATCTTCATCCACTTGAAAGGCTTTGCCCCGTCAATATCATGTGTATGATATGAGTTGTGTATTGCCATAAATAGCCACGTCACACGTACATGAGCTCAAAGCCAACCTATCATGTTGTGAACGCCGAAAACTACAAGGAAGTGATAGTTTCTTGTAATATCCAAAGGAAATCCTCGCATGTACATAGTATAGTAGTCTGAAAGCAATGACATTGTCCAGCTTAATATATTTGGACGACCATATTAAATGTTGCTATATTTATGTTTAAATAAAGCAAACATGTTGAATGATATTTACCAATATGCTGGAACTGATTGATGAATGGATGAAACTTCTGGGTTGACGTTGGATACTTGGATTGAAAAGCTTTTCTGATTCAGATCCCACGAAAATTTTCAACACTTATTGAGTCTCATTACTGCTCGTGTTTCGCTTGCTTATGGACAACAGCTTTTACCTAAACGCGTACATACAATATGCATGAATTGAATTTTTCCTAGAAAAAACATACGTGCCCTACAGGAAACAAGTAGGAATTACTCCATTAAAAAGGGGACTGTTAAATGCTACAAGAATAGAAAGGGTCTCATCATTTTTTGAACATTATGAAGATGGAAGAGGCAGTTAGGGTGCATCCTAAGCAATATTTACTACAATGATAAACTTGAAGACCGAAACTGGCAGTTCTAATATAGTTGTTTGCAGTTAGCTCTTCAAAATGCTTTCCAAAAATACTGTGCCCAGCAATAGCCATCTAAATTCACGTGGTGTTCTCCAATCACGATTTCTCAACTTGGCATATGCTATCGTGGCTAAGCTCTGTTTATCTTTTCCGTTCTCTATTACCTTTGTGGCTTTTGAATGGATTTCATTTGGCTACGTATCTTGGATTGAACATTACGCTGAGCTGCAAAATATAAACAAATAAGTGCATGAACATTAACAATGAATATTCATGTATATAGAAATAGGCGAAAGGGACAAACGTTAGCAGGTAGAAAACTCAACAAACTAAAACTTACAAAGATAGTAGTACCCCAAGTACAAACAAATATCAACAGCACAGCATGATTGCCTATGTTTTTTAACGCCTCTGGTGCAATCTGAAAAGGTAAAATAAAAACAATGGGCATCGCAAATGTTGGTTGCTGGGCATACCATTATTAATACTATAGAATAGAAATTTAACCTTTCAATTATCATGTAAAATCCTATCAAACCAGAAAGTGTTAATGCAGTATCAAACATAATGTGCTAGAAACAGACCCCCAATTCCGGAAGCTTACACCAAAAGGGCCCTGGGAATTAAGTGAGCCAGCCCCGTAAGGCACTGTTAGTTAATAGCATCCCTAACAGATAGGACCAAGCAAGCATACGAGAAACAGAAACTAAAACCCACAATGGAACAAATATCAAAAGAACAAACCAAACCATATTTCAATGAGTTCAAAAATTAAGGGAATTGAACATCAATGCAATTATGATTCAAAAAAGAGCTTGCTACTTCCTAACTGTTATGGAACTTACAAAAATTATTAAGTATAGATATCAGGGAATCTAGTAAAGCTGCTAATCTTTATGAACAAGATATATGAAGTCCACTATCCATGTTTTATTGGACAATGTTGCATGGCGGTTTCTATGTTTGATCAAAAAATAGTCTTGGGTATGAAAAAAAATTAACTTGTTTATTAAAGAGAAGGAATTACCCAAGAATGAAATTGACTTCCAGATTACTGCTTATACCTCCAAACACTTTAGCTTGATCATGTCCACAAAACTAATTATTTTTAGGGTGGGAAAACTGCACATCTTGTAACAAGCGATCCGGAAAACTTGATGGATTTGATATTATCTACCCAGTGAAAGCTTTAAGAATGGAAAGTGTCTCATTATCCATCTCAACTTTATCTTCCTCCATCATTTTAAGAATATGGAAATGTGGTTTGTTGGCAGAAAGGTGCATTCTAAGCAATATTTTATACAATGATAAACTAACAAGACCCAGATTATGGATATCTGTAATATACTTGTTTGCATATTCAAGATTCCCATCTTTCTCCAAATACTCTGCAATGGCCAACACGAGATCATGTGGCAGCCTCCAATGACAATCTTTTGTCAGAGCCAAAGCTCTTTTCATGGCAATAATAGCCTCATCCATTTTTTGCACATTCACATATCCTTCTATGAGAATTTCCCACGTCTTGTAGTTTGGACAACCACCCTTTTGCAATGTGTGGAGAAGTAATGATTCAGCTTCTTCCAATAATCCATTCCGCACATATGCACCCAAAAGAACATTACAGACTCTGATATCATAATTCTGACAGTTAGATTCCCATTCTAAGAAGATTCTCTTGGCTTGTACAATATCCCCAAGCTTCAGCAAGCATGTTAATACGCAAATGTAGTTGGCACAACTGATTCTTCCACCAACTGCCTTACCAGCTTCCCATAACCGCAAGACCCCTTCCTTTTCCTTCAAAGAAGCATAAAGTGTTATAAGGAAGAAGTAACCAAGACGGTTACAAGCAGATAGTTTTTTTTCAGCATTTTTGAGAACCAGAATGGCTTTCTTTGATTGTCCTGCTTTCTTATAAACATTGGCTAATGTAGCAAGACTGCTCCACCCCACTTCAACATTCTTGTCATTTTGCATTTCTCTAAAAACTGTCTCTACTGCTTCAATCCCGTATCCTTCTTCCTCACTACAAGCATTCATCCAAAGGTTGTAGGACAGAACATTGCGGGGCACCTTATTTCTTTTCATTTGCTGAATAACAAGGGGTACCTTCCTGTACTCATGTGTTGCTAGATATAGTTTCATCATCTCATTAAAAGGGTGAGGGCTCAACACTAGCCCCAGTTCATAGAGCTTCACCATGAAATTCTCAGCTTTACTAGTGTCCCTATCTCTTACATAGCCACGTAGAAGTATAAAACAGGCAGCTTTCTTTGCAGCTGAGTCAGGTAGATTCATAAAATATTCTTCAGCTTCCATTAGACCATAGTTTTCAATGATTAATTCCAATTTCATAGTATGATCAGCTGGGATCATATGGAAATTCTTCAGGTTTTCAATCCATTTAAATACCTGTGTAAAAGAATAATTAACAAATTTAAATTGCTTAACAAATTGAATAAACTATCACATAAAACCTATAAATTGCATTATAATGACATGCTTGTCAGAGATTGAAAGAACCCATTATTAGCAACTCTATGTTATGCAATGCCTGAAGTAGTCAATCCTGGAAAGTAGGGCAAAGTGGCTGACCGCAAAAACACTAATGGTACAATGGATTGCAGAGTAGTCACTGCCAAAATTTGATGACACAGAGCAAATAATTTATACTACATGCATATTGATGCTAAAAAACTAAAAAAGTACATAAACTCTAAGACATTCTCATCATTAATACTCAAAAGTCAAAAGTCATAACTTAAAAGGCACAATCATAGTTAATGTACGGTATAACTAAAAACAATAAGTCAATAATAACAAGAGACACAACAAAATAAAGAGTTCAGCACCAAATGCTAAATAAGTTAAGGCCTCTAAGGCATAAGCTAAAGACTCAACACCTAAAACAACAAGCATAAGCAACAATTCTCCTTATTCATCAATCAAACTCAGAAGTTAAGTCCATGATATTCTGAGTTTCTTCAAGAATATTCCTTTCATCATTAATATACTCACATATCTCACCCTCATCCTTTAATTTCCTCTTTGCTTTCTACATCATGTGTCACTTTTTCCTCTTCATCTACAATAATATATCCCCTACACTAGAGCCTGATTGCCTTGAAGTTGCTAACTTCAATTTTGTTTGCAGTTTAGCAAATGGTGTAGGCTCCCCAACTCAAAGTATTTTCATGAAAACCCAGTTCCTCGGGATCATTCACATCAAGAATGTCAAATTGTTCATTTAGAGCTTTGCTATACTTGATGAGCACCAAGTCTTTCAACTTTTGCTGCTCAAGGTTGCTTCTCTTCTTAAAATGAAACTATTGTATAAATTACAAAAAAGAATACTAGTTTCATTGTTGCTCTATGAAACTTTAGAAGGTAGAATAATTTAACATATACTTGCATTCTCAATAATGTTCCAATTACACACATATCCTTATGCTCAACAAGTCAAGCTCAAACTTAAATGGCAAAAGCTTGCAAATTTGGAGTAAATGATCCATACATGCTCCACCACACGGCTGTATGCATTAACTAATTAGTCTTCATAAATTTAAAGGCATCCACACTCTTCAACAAAATAGTCTCAGATGAACAGTTCGCCACGAAATTGATTAAGATCCGATTCTCCCTATCTGTTTGTGCATCCAACTTAATTGAACATCCAAATTTTGAACATTCTACCTTTTGACTGTTCAGCATTTCTTTCAAACAATTCATTTTTTTTTAAGGAATGGAACTTCCAATTTTTGGTAGCTTGGAGCTTCTATGTGTGGACCATAGTTTCCAATAGCTTCAATCATCAACTTGAATCCTTTTAATCCCACAACATTAAAATCCATTCCGTTCATATATCAAAAAAAAAAAAAAAGCTATATACTGACTAGCTCTAGCCCTAGTTTCTTCGTCAAAAGCATGATCTAAACCTAAACCTGTTCGCTTCAAAGCCTACTCTCTAACACAAGAGTTTCTTCTGGACTTCTAAGACGAAGTGAATCCATGTAGTATTTTTCATACACTTTTACCTTTCTTGGCAAAGACAGTTATGGGACTATCAGTTGATGATATTCCAATTCTTTTTTCTATTTTGAATTTCTCAACTCTTTTTCCTCATCATCATTTTGATGCAGCTCAACGATGTACAAATCGGTGTCATACTTGAGCAACTTCTCAATTTTAGATAAACATTCCTCACAAGCATTTACTTCGCGAACAAATTGGCGCGCGATTGACTACTAAATTAAATCAGCTTTGAAGCACAAATAGGAAGAATAATGTATAGCACATTAGCATAGCAGAAGAAAATGGAACCTCAAGAGCGTGGTGGTAACGCTTCGATTTGACTAGGGTTCTGGCGATGCGTCTAAGGTGGGAGGGTGAAACCTCGTTGCCTTGGTCCACCCAATTTTGAAGCGCGAGCAGTGGACTCTGCTTTGGGGATTTGAATTTGCGCGCGAACGGTTCGTGGAACGCGGAAGCGCGAGAAGCTACGTTGCTACACAGAGTTCGTGCACCGAACAAAAAACTGATGAAGCCAAAATTTGAAGGTTTAGTAGATTGATCATCGGAAAGAAAGGGCAGAGAAGAAGGGATTGGGCGTACCGTCTGATTCCGGCGGAGACGGAGCGGTTCGCCATCTCACGGCAGATGGACGGTGCTGATTCGTTCCCGTTGGAATGGATGGGATTCAATTTGTTTGCCGCTAACAAAAAAACGAAGCGGAATGTAATCAAGAAAAGGCCCACCGGGTTACACCTTCAGCTTGGTGCACAATGTACTGATGTAGAATGTACCAAGTTATAGTCACTCATATATAGTCTCATTAAATTATTATTTATTTATTTTAATTTTTTTTTATATTGTTATAGTTTTACTTATTTTTCTTTTAACTTTTTATAATTTAAAATAATTTTTTTAAAGTTTTTTATTCATCTTTTTCAAAAACAATTTATACCATTATTTATTTTGTATAATTTATACCATTATTTATTTTGTACTTACCTTATAGATATCTTCATTTTAATGAGAGTAAAAACAAGGTATTTTAATAATGATCATTGCATGTAAAGATAAAAAATAAAATAAAAATACACAAAATATTGAGAGATTATCTAATTTAGAATAATTTTAATAAAATAAATTTGACATCAAATATATAAGGTTGAATTTATATTTCTATCACATCAACCTAAAAAGGAGAATGTTATAAAAAGAATTAACGATAAAAACTAAAAAAATTATACAAAATTATAGACATAAATATTAAAAAAAAATACCTTAAATTATAGATACTAAAATATATTAAAAAAATTAAATATATGGACTAAAATATCTATTTCAAGTTATAAAATTTTAAAATAAAGTAAATGAAACTATGAAATTAAACTTATTGTTTATTAGATTTTTTATTTAATCATTAAGATTTGGTGTCTTTATTCTTAAAATATATAACTTGGTTTTGAATTTTTAAAAGAGTTAATCACTTATACATTGTCAGTGTAAAGTTTTTTATATTGACAACTAATTATATCTTTTAATTGTGTCATATCACTGTTAAAAGTAAATGTGTTTATAGTGATATGACACAATTAAAAAATATAATTAATTGTCGGTGTAAAAGAACTTTATACTAGCAGTGTATATAGGTAATTAACTCTTTTTTAAAATGACAGATTCAACCTTTTCTTTCAAATGAGACTAATGACATTAATTTTTTTATATACATAATGATATATGCCCAAAGACTTAGTTGTTAGTTTCAATTATCTTACAAAGAATTAACGTTGTTAGTATAATTAGGTTGAAATGTCTAGATTACATCACTTTATATTATTAAAAGAATAATTTGAACTAATTAAATAAAAAGGACCAAAATAAGAAAAATGTAGAACAACATTTTATCTTATTAATTATTTTGTAGATAATGGATAATACAAAGTAAAATATTGTATTAACATTTTTAATATTAATTATGTTAATATAATGACAATAGTAGTAGTAATAATTATAAAGATAATAATAATAGTCTTATCGTCTTATAATGACAGGATTTTTAATATTTGAAAAATGACTTAACATGAATAATGTTTTCATTTTTTTAATGTAAAATTAATTGTCTATTTTTCTTATTTGTATTTTGCCCCTTCAAAAGTTACTCAACTACCATAATTAAATAATGTATTTATTAAGGATGGGGACTATGTTAGTAAAATTGTATAAAAAAGTGATACATTTATTATTTTTCTTAATTTGTGTATGAAAACTTTAAATTGTAGTCATTTAGGAAGAAAAGGAGTGATAACAACTTGAATAAATAATAATGACACAAAAGACAATGATGATAGTGGTAATAATAATATTAATAGTAGATAATGGTGGCATCAATGGCCATTAGATACTTATTGTGATTTTAACATGGGCGAAATCTACCATGGACTTATGACTTATGTGTTTCATAGGTGGACCAACAAAATAAAGTGTGATTTCTATGTGGTTTACTGGTTGAAAAGTAAAAAAATATTGTTAAATATATGAATAATTAAATTGAACACTTCATATTTATTTAATAAAAAAATTTATTGATGTAAATTTTATTTTCTGATGGTAAATGACCATTTTGCCAAAAAAAGAAAATATCATCAACCCCCACTATCATCTTTGTCAACCTTAAACTCCTTTAGATTTGTCAACCCTAACCCTCTTCTTTTACTTCATCAATCCTAACAGCGACATCACATATAGCTTTCTGAGAGCTTCGTCCCCCTTCCCTCCTTCGACAATTCATCCCTCGAGATCGATGATGAGATTCCTATTGCCTATGAGGAGCTCTACGACCCTACCTACCACAACATCTCCATCTTCAACAACAATGTTTTCGTGATGGATGCCAAGGTGAAGAAGGAGAAGGGGTTAAAGTCTGGGACAAAGAAGGAGAAGGTGTATGATGAAGAGGAAGAAAGTGCAAGCACCAAGAAGAAGCGTAATCATCAGTGAGAAAGTGCAAGCCCTAAACCCCTAACCATGGTAGTCAGAATTACGGTTTTTCGAGTAAGATCGGACGCGTTCACGATCTTCTTCACTAGTTCTGTGCTCGCGCCTACTTTGGATCGCAGAATTTGCGAATCGTAGTGGATTGACGTGCAAGAGTGTAACTTGCACGGAAACAACACTCTTTTGCGAGCCTATTTTTAGATTAGTTTGTGGGTCGGATTTGTGATCCAATTTTATAACCTAGAATTTAAAAACATTTCAGCCCAAAAAAACCCTAACAAAAGCCCATATTTATTTTCCCCCCAAAGCCCAATAACTTAAAAAATGTTGAAAGGTGCCTTCTGCTCCACATCGATCAAAAAAGATAAAACCTTTCCACGCTCCCTTTATGAAAATAGGGACTGCCGCTCTTTTTCCCTTTATGAAAACAGAGACTATCACTTTTCTTTTGTGAATAAAAAATAAATCTTCTTCCCTTTACGAAAGTAGAGACTGTCACTCTTCTTTCGTGAATAAAAAGTAAATTACTGCCACTTCTACTCTTCTAAACCTATTTAATAAGTTCCAATCACACTCATATTTCATTCCACCTTTCTTATTCTCTCTTTGTGTGGGTTGTGAAATGCTGATTTCCTTTCCTTGCTTTTGTTCTCTCTTGCCCTAGAAGTTACAAACTGATTCATAATTGGATTTTGTTTACTACAAGCCCTGTACATTTTTTCTTTAATTGTAAGCCTACACTTTCTCTTATTTGTGCCATCTAATTCTCTTATTTTTTTTAAAAGACTATTACATAAATTATTAACTCCTCTATTATTTATTATCTTATAGACAATCATTAAAATGACTTCAAATCCAACTCCAAATTCCTCTACCCTTGTGGCTCCCAAAAATTCTCCTGGAAATAAGAGTGATATAGCTTGGAAGCATTATATTTCAGTTGGTGAGGATACTAGGAAACTTCAATGTAAATATTGCTAGAAGGTAATAACAGGAGGAGTTTATAAATTGAAGCATCACTTAGCTGGTACTCAAAAGGATGTTGGTGCTTGCAAGGTTGTTACTGATGAAGTGAAGAAAGAAATGTGGGAAATTGTTGTTGGTTTGCAACAAAATTTGATCAGGAAATCAAGCCTTAATAAGGAAGGGGAAAGTCTAGAAGTTGGTGATAAAAGAAAAGGCAATAAAGTAATTGACACTAACAATCCTAGAAATATTTTCAAGAAGAGAGTAATTAGTACACAAGCCACCATCAATACCATGTTTAAGAAAGGTGTGTGAGAGGAAGCATGCCAAGCAATTGCTAGATTTTTCTACAACAACGCAATACCTTTCAATGTGGTAAAGAGTGAGGAATTCATTGCTATGTTTGATTTGGTTTCAAAGCATGGCCTTGGATTTAAGCCTCCATCATATCATGAGATTAGAGTCAAACTTTTGAAGGAGGAGGTGAAAAATACATCAATTACTTTACAATCATATAGGGACGAATGGGAGAAAACTGGATGCACAATTATGATTGATGGCTAGACTGACATGAAAAGAGGGAAAATAATCAACTTTCTAGTGAACAACCCAAAGGGAACTCTATTTTTAAAGTCCATAGACGCTTCTACAATATCCAAAACTATTGAAAAAGTTTTTGAGATGCTGGGTAGCATTGTTGAAGAGGTGAGGGAAGACAATGTTGTTCAAGTTGTAATAGATAATGCAGCAAACTATAAAGTTGCTGGTCAAATATTGATGGAAAAGAGAAAAAGGCTATTTTGGGCACCATCTGCATCACATTGTGTTGACTTAATGTTGGAGGATTATGAGAAGAAAATCCCAATTCATAAGGAGACAATTCCAAAAGGTAAAAGAATTACAATCTTTATCTATTCAAGAACTTCTCTAATCTCTCTAGTACAACATTTCACAAAAGGAAGAGACTTGGTGAGGCCAAGTGTTACTCGCTTTGCCATATCTCATTTAACATTAGGGTGTCTTCATGAGAACAAAGGTGCTCTAATTAGAATGTTTACTAGTAATGAGTGGAAGTCTAGTAGGTATGTAGAAACAAAGGATGGAAAAACAGTTGAGAATGTGGTTTTGGATAAGGGTTTTTGGAGTAATATAATAATCTGTTTAAAAGGGTGTGTTGCCTTTAATTGAAATGCTTCGATTGGTTGATTCGGATCAAAAACAATCCATGGGGTTCATTTTTGAAGCAATGGACCAAGCTAAGGATAAGATACAAATGGCTTTCAATGCTATCAAAAAAGGTAACTAAGTATATACTTATTTATTTAATTATATTTGAAACTGAAAATAGAAAACTAGCTCAATATATTTTGGTTTAGTTATTTGCCTTTGTGGAGCATCATTGATAAAAGGTGGGACAAGCAACTTCATAGGCCCTTACATGCTGAAGGCTATTTCCTTAACCCTCAAATTGAAGGTTGATTTGGAAGTGAAATGAGGTTTAATGGACTGTCTAACAAGGATGGTGTAGGATGAGGATGAACAAACTTTAATTAATGATTTCAAAAAATGAGCTAAATTTTTTAGTTGTCCTTTGGCTACTAGGTCAATTAATTTAAAGACTCCAGCAAAATGGTGGGAGCCTTACGGTGATAAGCATCCAGAACTCCAAAAATTTGTGATACATGTATTAAACTTGACGTGTAGCTCATCTGAATGTGAAAGAAATTAGAGTTTTTTTGAAATGGTAAGTTAAGTAAAATTAAAATATATTATATATCTATAAAATAGAATTACTAGTCTACTATACTTG